AGTTCCACGACGATACTGAGCAGCAGCTCGAGCGTGATCGCGGCGAGCAGCGCGACGTCGAACAATACGACTCGAGTGCGACACAGTCGAGCAGCACCACGCCGGCCAGCACTACGGTGAGCGGCGGCACGACGCTGACGGACACCGCAGAGTCATACGATACCACGCTGCCCTGGACGAGGTCTTCGGCGGCTAGTACCAGCGGCCCCAACTGGCTTGTCCACCACCTTGTCCACCACATCGACTCCCTTCCCTCTGCTGTCTCTGCCCTCGTTCCGCCGCGGCTGTCAAATGCCGCGCTCCGTCTCAACCAACCGACCACGCGGCTGTCAGCCGCTGTCTCCCCCCCTGCCGCGGCTCGCATCTCGGCCGCTACGGCCTCCCGCCCTCCCCGCTCCAAAATACAATGCGACTGTCAGTCGCCCCCGATGGCTCCCCTGCCCGGCCCTACCCGCCCGCGTACACGACGGCTGTCAGCCATCTGCCCCCCCCCTACCGCGGCCCGCCTCGCGGCCGCTACGGCCCCGCGCCTAATGCCGCCTCGCCGCTTGCGTGTGCGGGCCCCTCGCGACGTTGCGCCCTCGGCGCCATGTTGCCCTCCCCCGACGCTCGCCCCCGCGTCGCCGCGGGTTCCCTTGGCCCCGCCGTCGGCTCTGCGCGAGACCGCCGGGCAGGCTGGGGCTTTGTCGCCGGGGCTTCGCGCGCGGCGCCCGCGGGTCTCGCTGCTCCTCAGCGCACCTGCCGCGGGCCTCGCCCCGTAGCCTCGGCATCGCTCTGCTGCCGCCAGTACCCCCGCTGTCTTCGACGACTCCTCGGGCCGTCGCAGCCGGCGCCGCGGCCCCGCTCTGGCGCGCGTGGCCTCTGGGTTCCCTCGGCCCCTGGCGCCTTCGCCCCCGTCTGGCTGGGGTGCCTCCCTTTCCCTCGCCCGGCCACTCTGGTCGCTCTGGGGGCGGCCCGCCTGCCCACCCACTCGGGGTGCCCCTGGCCGCTCGGGCCTGCCACCCGCCCGTGATCGCCGCTCCCGCCCGTTCGGGGTCGACGGGCGCTCTGTCCTCCTTCGCGCCGGTCTGGGCGCCCCCCCCCACTGGTTGTGCGACGCCGCGTACGTCGGGCACGGTCTCCTGGCGTCTCGCCGCCTCGCTGTCAGCGCTTTGCTGGGCGCCGTCGCTGCCCCTTCGTCGCGGCCTCCGCCGCCGCGCCCCCCCTTCGCGCGGAAGTCCGCCATCTTCGCGCACGCGGTCTCACGGCCACACCCCTCGGCGATCCGGAGTCTTCCGTGGAACGCCTGCACGTCGCCTTCGTCCTCCTCGACTACGCGATGGCGGTCATCGGGTGCAGAGCTCGACCTTCGTCGCCACTTTGGCGCTGCACGCGGACCTGGTGCATTTCCTGGTCCTTCTTTGTCGGCATCGGCGTCGCGCGTGCACCTGGCCCTCAGAGTCCTCTTCGCCTACTGAGCCGCAGCGTAGCTCGCTCCTGCGCGCTTGGTGCCTAAATTTAGATCGTGGCTCTGTAGCTTCGCTCTTTGACGGCGCGCGGCTGCTCCGCATCGCTCGCGAACAAAAAAATAGCCCCACCAGCGGTGGCAGCCTGCCCCTGCATGCCCCGCGTTCGACTCGTTTCGCGCGCCGCGTACCAAGAAGTTGCCGCACCAGCCCATCCAGAAATCATCATATGAAGGAAGGAAGGAAGGAACGGACGAGAACAAGGAGGATGAGGAGACGGCCTTTGCGGATATGTTGTTATGAAAAGTTAGTGGGGGACTCCCGGAGCCATCTTGGGACCTTCTTGGTGCCCCCGTGCGGCCTGCAACAAAGCCTAAGTCACTCGTGAGGTGCCTAGGCACCTCGTAACGGCTGCGCACGAAAGGACAGCATTTGAGCCAACGCCTGAACAGCCTCGTCCATGGCGATGGTTTCTGCTAGAAACCAAGATACAGGGTCATAAACGTTCCAGCCTGAATTACAAAGGACCGCGTTGTGCTCTGACCACAGACAATAACAGCTTCGATGCACCACGCGGCCGCGGAGCACTGCCCGGCGCGAGTACCTCCGTCAGAGTGCACGAGGAAATTCGCAGCACAGGACAGCTCGGCACTGTCTGGGAAAGTTTTCGCCCAAGACTTGCGTTCGTCCATGGTGTGGTTGACTAAATGGTCGGCGATTTTATTATAAGCGCGCGGCCGCCAAACAACGGCATCATCTATATCCCGAGCCGGCTTCCACCCCCGTTCCAACAATGAGAAAATGTTGTGTTATTCGGCTCAGGGTTGGCTCGAGGCTTCCGTTGGTCAGAACGGTCAAGCCGTTCACCACTGCTGACAAAGGCTGGCAATTTGTAACAAAAGCAAACCGCCCAGGCACGCTCTCCCATGGTATTTCTGGGGCGCCGCCCCCATGAGAGATAGGCAACAACTTCAGGGGATACGCTGAGGTCCTCTGGCGTTTCGCCCATGCACGGCTTTCCTGGTCTGTCGCCAGCGCCTGCTCCGAAATAGTGAACAATCTCCACTCTCCGCAAATATACTTCTCAAATTCGGGATACAAGGACATCCATTCACCCATCGTTGAACAGGCGTCGCATTTCTCGCGCCACTGCTCCCCGTAAGCTTGTACTAACACGTCTTCCCATTCAACGCGGTGGCCATGCCCTGAATGGACGATGCCCTCCTTCCGTCTACGTTTCCAGCTGCATACGTGCTTGGCTGTCTCCCGCCACAGTCGGCTCCTTGCTTGCCTTGCAGTAGACAAGAAGTTGTTCGCACCGTCGTGAGGGGCGAGGCGTTGCTCCCGCCATGCCGCCTTAAAGACATCCCGGAGCACTCGAAGATGAAGGGGGCGAGAACCGGTCACGCGAAACCACCGCTCCAACAAACGAGCCGTGCGAATCATGAACGCAGCTTGCCCCTCTCCCGGCCTGCGGCGGAATCCGAACATCTTCTGGAGAAATGAAAATTCCCATCGTCGCAGTCGCTGCATAACGTTTTTGGCTAGATGCCACGTCGACGACCCGTGGGCCGCACTGGCTGCCAGACCAGTGGACCACGCTTCCATTTTTGACGCTATAGAGTCCTTCGCCTTGTACGTGCCAGCGTTGCTCCAATACTTCCCCTCAGCCTTGCCCAGACGATGCTCGACACTGGTAATGGTGTCCCCTTCCTGGCTAAGCATGACTCCCAGGACCTCCATGGTGTCGACAATCTGGTAAGCCTGCTTGTCAATTGCCTCCACAACGGGCGCCTCCGAAGGCACGCCGCGCACCGTGCGGCCTCTTGGGCCTTTTTGGGGGCTCTCAGGAACACATGTCTGTCGGGTCTATCTTGGGACGTTTTTGGGACGCTCTTGGGCGCTCTTGGGGCCATCTTGAGGCCCTCTTGAGCACCTCTCGGGGTTCCCTTGGGCCATCTTGGGCCCATCTTCAGGCCTCACAGGCCTATGGAAAGCCAAAAGGCCAGAAGGCAAACAAACAGCATGGATGTCCCTCGGGTGTTTGAAAGACGTTGGCCTCTTGTGGAACGCCTTGGAAGGCTCGGAGGACACTCGGAAACGTCTTGCGGCGGCCGTGGGAGCTCCTGAGGGTATGTCAAGGGCGACCTTGAGCAATATCCAGGTAGCTTTTGGGCAATCCTGGAGGCCACTTTGGGCTATCCAGGGCCCTCTTGGAGCCATCTTGGGCCATCCTAGACGCTCTATCCCCTGGCGGCGCGGCCAGTTCAGACCCAGGGTAGCCGAGCAGGGGAAGAAGGGATTCTGGAAGAGGGAACTAAAGTTCTCGTCAGACCACCTACGCGCAGAGAGCTGGTGGGACTGCAACTCCCATGATGCAGTGAACCAGTTGTACGCGCCCGTATCCTGTGGCGAGCTCCGGCCAGCCCCGGAGCCGCGGATGGGGGCAGCCCCGCGCTCCGACACGCAAGGGGCCTTGAGCCAAAATAGTCTGATCCAAAAATTGTTACGGACCCTTGCCATCCTCCCCCGACCAAGCCCTGGAAGTGCTCCACATTATCCGCGCATTGTTCTCACACACCGGATTCGACTGGTCAGTCCTTCCGATGGCTTGACCATCGGGACGTTTTCGGTGTTTGCAGACGGTGCTCCCGCTGCAGCATTGGCCTCATTTCAGGATCGGCGCGTTGCTCCAGTCGTCCAGACTGGCGCTCCCGCCCCAGCGCGGACCACATTTCTGGATCCGAATGCTTCCTCGTCGTTGTCGCCCACTTCCCTTCCCATCCTGGCCTTCCCCTGGCCATCCTGCTACTCCCGCTCCTCGCGCTCCTGCTGCCGCTCTTCCTCTTTGTCCTTGTCCTTCCTCCTACTTGTCTTCCTGCCATCTTCCAGTGTACACAGGCTCCCTTTTTCAAATTGCGCATGACACGGTGTGGTCCTGTTGAGGGGTCCAGGTGCGCTATGACACCCGTCGGTGGATAGAGGAAACGTAAGGAATGGGTGCGAGGGGTACGATGTCAGACATGGCGCGAGCGCAGCTAGCGTGTCATCACGCCCTCTTCCATCTCCTTCTCCTCCTCCTCCTCCTCCTCTTCTTTTTCCTCCTTCTCATCATTGTCCTCCTCTCCTCTTCCTCGTTGTCCACCCTCCTCCTTCTCCTCCTCCTCCTCCTCCTCCTTGTCCTCCGCCTTGTCCTCCTCCTCCTCCTCCTCCTCCTGCTCCTCCTGCCCCTTTTCCTCCTCCTCCTCCTCCTCCTCGTCCTCCTCCTCCTCCTCTTCCTCCCCCTCCCCCTCCTCCTCCTCCCCCTCCCCCTCCCCTCTCCTCCTCCCTCCTCCCTCCTCCCTCCTCCTCCTCCTCCTCCTCCTCTTCCTCCTCCTCCTCCTCCTCCTCCTCCTCATCATCATCATCATCATCATCATCATGATCAATCCTCCTCCTGCTCCCCCTTCTGCGGGTTGGAGGCGGCGAGGTCACGGCGGCGGTCGGGCTCTGAATCGGGTCGGCACGGTCTGGCGGCCGGCGGCAACGGCCCCGAGAAGAGAAAGGCGCGCGCTCCTTCAAGGGAGCCGTCCTGCGCCGCCATGGCTGTGCGGGGTGGGGCGCGGCCGAGCGCGCGCTCGCGGGTGCCGGTTTAGTTATGTTTGCGGGCCTGCTTTTCGCTGCCACCACGGGTCGGCCAGGGAGGGCCGACTTATGCTACTCGCTTTGCCGTGCGAGGCGCCAGACGAGCGGGCGAACGGACGAGCGAGCGCCGAGTATGAGCCGCGCGCGCGCGGGACCAGCAGCACAGGTCAGTCGCCCCTGGCTTGTGGTGGCGGTGGCAGTGCTGAGCGGGCCCACGGAAATTTATACGGCGGTCTGGGGAGCGCCTCGGGGGGTAAGCGGGGCGCCTGGGTCAGGCTCCTTCTGTCCCTCCTCCTCCTCCTCCTTCTCCTCCTCCTCACCATTGCTATGCGCTGGACTGGTGATGAGGACACTCCCAGCATGCACCACCCCTCCCTCGCTTGCGGTGGGCGCGCCTGCTCTTTCCCTCCGCGCAGCAGGAAACGAAACGTCAGCAACCATCGGTTTGTAAATCCTGTCCTTCTCCTCCTCACCCTCCTCATTTTCTTTATTTCGATAAGCCCTCGTCGTCTGACCAACTGACGTGTCGGCTCGACGGGCTGGGCGTTTCGCCAGAGACGTTTATCACGCCGAAGCTAGAATCCCCCAAGAGTTACACGGTTGGAGAGAGGGTCGTTTCCAAATTGTGGTTCTCGCCTCAGCGCCGCGCACATTCGTCTTAAATGCTTCCCGCAGCTACACTGCAATAGGGTAGTTAGTTTTCGAAGCGTGGTTCTCGCCTCAGCGCCGTGCGCATTCGTCTGCACAACTTCAACAACGCATACGAATGCAGGAGGTACTTTCCAGAATGTGGCCCCCGCCCTCGCACCGCGCGTAACAGTCTTGAAATAGCACGATCACTTCACGCATGGATGAAGAAATTTTCAAAATGTGGCTGTCGCACTCGCGCCGCGCACATCGGCCTTGAACTATGCCAACAATTACACGGATGGAAGGGTCGTCTTTAAAATGTGGTTTGGCGCAGTAAGAGGGGCGGTGTTTTATTGCGGCTTTCGCCTTAGCGCCCAGCACGTTCGTCATACGTTTCCAGCTGTTGCACGGATGGAAGGCAACTCATTGTCTTACGTAACTCTCGCGTTCGCGCCGCGCATAATCCTTTTCCCTCCAACAAAATCTCACCGCTACACATTGCACAATTTAATGACGCTCATTCAGAATCGGACTTCTCGCCCAAGACTTCCTTATACTTTATGGCCAGACATGTAAACATGTACGGCGTGCGGACGGATTGAAGACAGGTCTGTTACTAAACGGTGTTCCTGCTGGGCATTTTACTGAATATGTTGCTTCCAGCTCGTCGCCGTCCTTATAAACAGAAATCATACCAGAGAGAAAAAACAAGCCGATGTGCTACAGCTATAGGACTATAGAGCTATAGGGCTAAAGGGCTATAAGGCTATATGGCTATAGGGCTGTAGGGCTATAGAGCTTTAGGCTATCAGGCTATAGGGCGATATGGGCTATACGGCTAGCTATAGGGTTATAAGGCTACAGGGCTATAGGGCTATAGGGCTACAGGGCTATAGGGTTATAGGGCTATAGGGCTATGGGGCTGTAGGGCTATAGGGCTATAGGGATTTAGGGTTATAGGGCTATAGTGTTATAGGGCTATAGGGCTATAAGGCTATAGGGCTATAGGGCTATAGGGCTAGAGGTCTGTGGAGCTATAGGGCTATAGGGCTATAGGGCGATCGAGTACAAGGTCACCACCCCCAGGCACCTCCAGGCACCCCCGGGCACAACGGGGCACCCCCGGGCACCCGGGCACCCGGGCTCTAGGGCTATAGGGCTATAGGTATATAGGGCTATAGGGCTAGAGGGTTACAGGGCTATAGGGCTATGGGGCTGTAAGGCTATAGGGCTATAAGCTTATAGGGCTATAGTGCTATAGGGCAGAAGGCTATAGGGCTATAGGGCTATACGGCTATAGGGCTGTAGGGCTATAGGGCTGTAGTGTTGTAGGGCTATAGCTATAGGGCGATAGAGCACCCGGTTTCCCAGGTCCCCCCAGGCACCTCCGGGCACGCCTGGGCACATCGGGGCACCCCCGGGCACCCAGGCACCCGGGCTATAGGGCTGTAGAGCTATAGGGCTATTGTGCTATAGGGCTAGAGTGCTATAGGGCTATAGGGCTGTAGGGTTATAGCGCTATAGGGCAGAAGGGTTATAGGGCTATAGTGTTATAGGGCTATTGTGCTATAGGGCTGTAAGGCTATAGGGCTATAGGGCGATAGAGTACCTGGTCACCACCCCCGGGCACCTCTAAGCACCCCCGGGCATATCGGGGCACCCCCGGGCATCCGGGCACCCGGGCTCTAGGGCTATAGATCTATAGTTTTTGTTTGTCCCCCCCCCCTAAAAAAAAACCCGTCCACGGGCAAATCCGCTTCCCCTCAAGGGGGCTATACCCGTGCGGCAAGGCACGGGCTATATAGGTCTATAGAGGGCTATATAAGGCTAGAGGGTTGTAGGGTTATAGGGCTATGGGGCTGTAGGGCTATAGGGCTATGGGGATATAGTACTATAGGGCTATAAGGCTATAGGGCTGCATGGCTATATGGCTATTGTGCTATATGGCTATAAGGCTATAGGGTTATAGCTATAAGGCCATAGAGCACCCAGTTACCCGGGCAACCCCGGGCACCTCCAGGCACGCCCAGGCACATCGGGGCACCCCCGGGCACCCGGGCACCCGGGCTATAGGGCGATAGAGCACCCGGTCGCCCGGGCAATCCCGGGCACCTCCGGGCACCCCCAAGCACATCGGGGCACCCCCGGGCACACGGGCATCTGGGCCCGAATTGCACGACCATACAGCGATCGCCTTTCAAGGGGGCATTTCTCGCAGTGGACAAGGAATTCTTGCAGAAGCTAGAGAAGGAGGGAGTTGGAACGGGCGGGCGCACTGCAGCATCTTTAATGCATATTGGGTTTACGCTGGTCTTCCTCCTCCACCTCCTTTTGTTCCCTTTCCTCCTCCTCCTCCTACTCCTCCTCCTCCTCCTCATCATCATCATCATCATCATCATCATCATCGTCATCGTCATCATCATCATCATCAGCATCATCATCATCATCATCATCATCATCATGATCATCCTCCCCCTGGCGCTCCTCCTCCCCCTCCCCTTCTTCCTTCTCCTCCTTTTCCGCAGCGCTCCGCAGCGATCCCAGCCGCGCTCGCGCGCCCGCGGCCGCCCGACGGGGCGGGCAGCCGGCCAGACGCGAGTGCGGGAGCCTCCTGGACGCCAGCGGGGGGCACTTTCCAGAGTGGGGGGAACGGGAAAAGGTAACTGCACCCTGACAATATGATACCAACGAATGAGGGGGCCGGGGGTGGGTTGAGCGGCATGGCCACTGAGTTGAAGACGGTGTGCATACGGATGACGGAGTACGGAGTACCTTGCCAGTAGCGATGTACACGGCGCACCTTGTCCGCAGCGCGGTAGTTGTAGTATGGCAGTATGTGGTGCACTCTACATGCCAGCCCTCGCTGTAAGCATTTTGGCATGGTGGCATTGTATATTGCCCGTAGCGGTGTACGCGCAGTACGAGTCATGGCACTGAATGACTTGTTTCGGGTAGCGGCGTATTGTGGTCGTTGGTCAGGCACTCCGAAAAATCTAGCGCAAAGCGAAATACCAAAACATATCCAGCATACTAAGCCGATCTGTCATACACGGTCGGCTCCCCATGGGCACGCTCTGTCTGGCCCTGTAGCATGTGTGTAGGCCCACGCTTGTTGTAGAGGATGATCGGGGAGGGCCAGCTGAAGAAATTGCAATGTTATTCGGTGCTCGGGGCGCTGTCTGGTCCAGAATCCAGGACGTCGATCAAGTATGTCGAGCCTCCAGTGAGTGTAGGCTGGCAATGTAGCTTCAGACCATGCGGTAGCTCCTCGGTGCAGTAAATCCGGTAACACACTGCGACGCGCGCGTGTTCTTCGGGAGGTCGATCATACTCTTGCCCGTGAAGTTTGGCGACGATGGCCTGCTTGAAGCCACGCGTCGCCAAGGTCATGCGTTCGTCTGTGCGGGGGGCCCAGAACATGTAGTATGAGAAGCGCACCGTGGACCCGCAGGGGCGCCATGCTGCAATCGTGTAATTGCGGGGTGCCATCCAGCATGCATCGCGGAGCGGTAATGGTATCTCCTGACCGTTATGGGGCCGATCCGCTCGGCCAGACTCGGCCATCTGTCGTGGCCTCTCCTGTGACCTCAGCGCATTTGGCCTTGTAGATGTCGATGCGCTCGTCGTGAAGGTCTCTGGAATGGTGCCAGAATGCGGCCTTCATATAGGCGATATTGAATTAGGTCTTCGCGCCTTCATCGCATGCGATGTTGGTTATCACTTGTGTCCATCTGCGCCGGTAGCTCGGGTCACTCCGCAATTTGCCTGCTTCGGCAAGCATATGTTTCTGCCCGCTGGCTTCGTCGCTCGGCACTTGGAAACTCATGGCGGGCGAAGGCGCGGCTGCCAGATCACGTCGTCGCTCCTTCGTCCTCGCGGCTGTCCCGCGGCGCCTCAACGGGCGCAAGCCCCGCGCCGCGCCCAGTATGCTGCAGCGCGCGCGCGCGTACGAGCGCGGGGAATGAGGGGAGGCCCGGCGGAAGATGGGACGCGCGGGAGGGCGAATTGTCGATCGGGTCGAGGAGCAGGAGGGCGCAGCACGCGGCGCGCGCGTAGCGTGCACAGCCTGAGATCGGGTGCGTAGTAGCGGCTTGGGTGAGCACCGCTGGTACCTCATGCCGCGCCTGGCGAATATGCCCTCGTCTACTTGTCGGCGTCGACAATCTCCGTGTCCGTCTTGCGCTTCTTCGGGCCGTTGGAGGTGCCGTCGTTGGTGCTGTCCTTCTTGCGCTTGTTGACGATGCCCTCGAAGTACACGGTATTGTCGCATTTGGCGCTCTTGTCCTCGAGCATGTAGACCGCGCCCCCACCCTCGCCGTTCTCGTGCGT